ATTTTGAATTGAATTGAAAAAGTACTTTTATTGTGATTTCACCTCTTGGGTGTACCTATTCAAAGGAGACATGACTTTAACCTGTTTTCCTCAGAGATGGCCTTTCTCTCTGATTCTCAGCACTGTGCAGAGAACCTTTCTCTCATGAGATACACTCGTATCGTCATATCTGGTGACTATACGTTCAACGATGTTGCCTCAACATGTGCACAAACTTTCTAGTTACATGTAGCGAGATACGAAGAGTATTCTGGTTAATTGTGACGTTATACTGGATGGTGTGCAGGCAGCTCAGCGCCACACTGTGATGGCTGACCTCATTTGTTTTGTCATTCATGTCGAGGATTACTGAGATCTTCAGATCTGCTCATATTTACTGAGATCAACACAAAGTATGTTCAGTCTTGTAACAGAGACAGAGTCGAAGCCTAACGGTGTTAACTGACTGTTAAAACAGTGAGGTGCATTTTCACTTCAAGTGAACTACGTTTTCGCCACATCCCTTCTGAGGGTTCATCTGTCCGTGTGTTTATTACCTTAAGGCCACGTGACGAAGAGTTTTCCATAAGGCCAGGCTCTACTACATCCTACCTGACTGGAGAATTGGTACATTAGAGGAAATGACTACAAAATGTCTGCTAACATGAGTATATTGTTTTCATCTCTCATCATGGACGTGGAGCCAATTTGCCATCAGAAAATAACACAAGCAGGAGGTGCAGCTAACAGAGTCATAAGAGACTCACTTGTTTTCATTTGACCAAATCACCCAGTAATGATAACGATAAGTAATAACGGTATATTATTGTCTTACCTCAAGATTTTTTCTACAAGTGCCTGATTTCTAAATGTGTTTTTGTTCTGCGGTGCCATGCTTGGTTCTTATCTCTTCGATTACTTTTTTTTTCTGGGTCTTCTCCCTCCTCTCCTGTGGTTGATGGTATAACTAAGGCACTGACCCAAAGATGTGTACATTAAATAAGCGAGAGGCTGCAAAGAAACACTTAAACAGCACACTTCAGGCCAAGGACATGTCTATGCACTCTCTGCTTTGTGTTAAAACACAGGCACGGACAGCTCTTACCGACACTGCTAAGAGAGAAAAGGCATAGTGTTCTCTCAGCTGCTTTCCTAACAAACTGAGGTCATCTCTCTTTGCCTAGTGATCCACAGTGTGTGAATATGGTACACCTAACAATCCCTATCCTAAAACTGCATTAGTTCATGTTAGACAACATTCAATTACCTGTGACTTCATGAAAAGTCAGAGGAACCCACTTCATCAGTTTGTGTGTTTTGTCTGAAATGTGATTTACCTAATATTGTCATTGTTGTATTTTAAAAATCTTTTTGTACATACTCTTAATATGTAACATACTGTATTGTGTACATTTGGAATTGCTTTCGAGTATAACTAATATGAAAATGACTGGACTTAAAGGTTGTCCGCTTGAAACCATTTCCCTCATGGCTGTGTGCTTTAAAGCAAGGTTATATGATGTAAATAAACAGAACTATGATAAAAACAAATCTTCATGTGTTTGTTTTTGCAAGACACACTTTACATGGATGATGTTTTGCAGCACCATAGGAGCTGAATGCTGCCCTCTACTGGCTGTGGATGAATACGGTCTCTCAAGGCCCCTTTGCACAGGCAGCCTCTAGTCTGGACGCAAACTTCATCTAAAGTAACTACACAGGCTCCATCTTTACCTTGTATGAAGGGTTTCATAATAATGCATCCTTGGAAAATTAGCTGTAATCCTGAGAATCTATTAAAACCGGTGATCATTTACCCAGGGCTTTAGTAGAACACTATTTGCAGCAAATCTTTGGCTTTTGATGTGAGCAGCATTTCTCTTGTGAACACTGTGTTCAAAAAAAGGGAAATAAACCCCCTTTTGCATTTCTTCTTGCGTAATATCCCCATCAGATTGAACTCAGTGTGTGTTAACCTTCATAAAGAGCCCCTCCACCATATCCCATCCCCCCCTTCTGCCATGCCTGTATTCCTCCGATTCAAAGCCCACTGATGTCTGGCCCATTTCAGGATCCTCACAAGAAAAAGCTTTGTGATCACTTGCATACTGACAAAAGCCACGTACAGTAGCTTCACGCTGCAGCTTTTAATAAACCGCTTCCTGTGTCTGAGAGCAGGCTTTTACAACACAACAGATATAAAGCAGAATTTCAATTATTTATTTGAACTTATGTCAACACACAATTGTTAAAATTGACACTCTGGAATTTACTCCTGCACAACAGTCTCTGTGAACTGGTCCAATTAGCTGGAATTTGTTATTCGTTTTTTTGTTTTGTTTGTTTGTTTGTCGGGCGGGATACAACAAAATGTTACAATGTTTCTAATTCACAAATTAAACAGTATATGTCAATGGGTAAGCCTATCTACGAAGTTTACCAGGGGAACAAAATATTTCTGTTGTCAGATACATTCTCTTTATAAAAAGAATCTTGTTTTTGAAATATTTACATTTCTTCTTGAAAAAAATTGAACGGGACAGTCCAAATAGAAAAGAAATAGAAAGTATTGCATTGCAATGCAAGGACTTCGTCCAGATGACAGACTGATTACAGGAAACTGATGAGTAGTCCCATGTTTTTACCTTTTCATGGATTTTTTTTTCTGCTTGACTTGTGTCCTTTAGTTGGTAGCGACTTGGCCCCTGTCCTTGCTCGGCTGGTTCTGCAAAAGGAGCTCAGTGCTTTGGGCCCTCGGTCTCTCCAGTTCCCTCTCCAGCTCTTTTAGGCGGACCAGGGAGCTCTCCAAGGTGCGTCTCAGCCGGTTGTTCTCCTCCTCCAGCCGGGACATGCACTTTTCCAGCTCCAGATACTCCTGCAGCAGCTCCTGTTTGGTCATATTCTGCAAGCTCTCGACGTGGTACATCTCGTAGGTCTCGGAAAAGTCTCTCTGGAGAAACTCCCCACCTGCGTTCCCGGCCCTACCGATACCGTCGCTGCCTCCGCCGCTGCCGTCATCATCTTCCTCCTCGTCGTTGTCGAAGAAGTCCTCCTCGCTGCCCGTGTCCTCCATGCGGCCACCGACCCCAGAGGGCCGCCTGACGCCCGTCTCGGTGTTGAGGTCGGGCTCCTCTCGGTCGTGCTCGTCCATCAAGAACTGTGTGGTGTTATAGGGGGCCACCGGGAGCCCTTTGGCGAACATCTCCTCTCTCAACCGTGAAGCCCTGGCCGTCTCTTTCTCTTCCAGGGCTTTCCTTTCCTCCCAGGAAAGTTTGTAATAAGGCTTCCAGTTGCGCTTCTTCTTAGAGGTCCTGCGCCTGTGTCTCTTCTTGCCCAGACGCGCATAGAAGCCAGTGTCGGAGTCGATGTGCAAACTCTCTACTTGCACCTCGTTCAAAGTCTCCTGCAGCGGTCGGTCTTCACCATTTTCCTCCTGTGAGGTGCGATTACCGTCTTCCACTACAGAAACACCGACTTTCTGGCGAGGCTGAGTGGCAATCGGGCACTTCTGGAGGTCGTTTCCGGCTGCTAAGTCCGGGCACATCTCCCTCTGTTCGGCTTTGATTTGCAGTAACTTGTCTGTGTTGACATCCCCAACGTACTCTGCCTGCTGCTGCTGCTGCTTCTCGTCTCTCTGTCGCCCCCTGTCGCCGTTCACTGGTCCGCCATCGCTGCTGGCTGGGAGATGCTCCAAAGTCTCTACGCTGCTCCCACCTGATGGGCTGCCTGAAGTTTTCAGGTGATGGGTCTGCTCCACTGGCTCTGTCATCCTGATGATCCGCTCTGATGGCTCCACTTTAGCGCATTTTAGATGATGCTCTCAAAACCGAGTTTCAAAGTTCGTTAAAATGTGTTAAACTTAATTAAACAAAAATGTTTTTATTCCAGAACGAGTCTAAATCACCAAAGAAAGTTGAGTTTTTACGTTTGAAAACAAACTCTCCCAAAGTAAACGTAAACGTCCGAACCGTGAACACTTGTTACTCCTCCAAGGGTTTGTCAGAGCAACTGTCGCTAACTAACATTAACTGTTTCGATGCTGTCAGAGCTCTCGTTCACCTAGAGACTACGTTCCACCGTCACAACTGTGTCCAGTGTGCTACTCAAGAAGAGGGAGCTCGAGTTTATATAGCGGCTCCGCCTCTAGCCGTGCGCATGCTACTGCTTGTAGCGCCTAATGGATTGTGGAATATGTGGTTTTCATTCAAGTAAAGCACTAGCCGAGGTCTCCACATCAAACTACATATTCCACAAGCCTACCTTCACGGACGAGCCTTCTAACCAATCAAATGGTAGGATCTTGAGCACAATAAAGCGCAACCCTCTCTTTGTTGATTGGACAAGAGGACAATTTTGCTGTTGCTAAGCTTAAACTATTTTCTGATTGGACATTTAAATAGTCAATCAAAAGTACGTAAATCTACACCAAGAAAGCAGTCCGGGACACTTTTATGGGCTCTACTACCGACAAATAAAGGGGACGCGGTTAAAAGTTACAAAATACAAGTGAATTTAAATACTTTCAAATTACATTATATTGTTGCTGGAACAAATTAGCATATTTTATTCATAAGATTACTTTGCTTATTTTTATTTGCTGGCCACACATATGAACGGCGAATTATTAATACAATGATGCCCCTCCTGCATTTTCAGTAAAATTAAAAATTCTCTTACGGAAACTAGTCCGTTTTGAATGTGAATATTTAAAAAATGATAAATACTGCTCACTTTCAAAATGCAATTATTTTCATGCTTTCTGGCATTAAAACGCGTTGTTGTGGTGCCAGTTGGATCATTAAATGTTTCAGGATGAATATTCTTTGTGTTGTGCGGAGTGATACTTTGTGGGGCAGGGCTCGGGGAACTCTGGAATCAGCGTAAACAAACGACATTTATTGTGAAGCTGCCGCTACAAGCACAGCTCCGAACCCTTCGTTGTTAAAGGGTGGGTCAGGCGATCTCACACTTGCTCAGTAATCCTGTTATCAGTGGACGGAGTGGTGTAGATCGGTTTTAAGTATGTGTTCAGCCCATGGTCTCATACGCAGTGTTAGTTTTACACTGTTGTGTCGTGTTAACGGCTCAGGATAAGCTAGCTAGCTAACGTTAGCCAAACGTTAACGTTAGTAAGTGGGCGCTATATGATGTCGCTTCCAAACTAAACACTCAATTTATAAAGTGTGAAGCCACTATCACCAAAATAAACGTCACGTCTGAGCACAATAATATTGTAAAGCAAATTCTTATGAGTCAGGACCAGTACAATGAAAAACGCCATACTGTGCATAAAGCTAGACCAGCTAATGCTAAGTAACCTAACCTTACATTACGGTGTAGTGTGGCTAAAAAGTTATTAAGCAGCAACAATTTGAACAGATTGAAAATACATGTTTCATGATTAACCATTTGTCGATACCAATGTAGTGAATACGCAACAAAGTAAATGTTACGTACGGAAGTCGCTAACGTTAGCCATCTGCTAACTAGGCCACTGTGTTTATACTGGGTCAGCGTAATTGCTGGAAAGTAAACTCTCCTTAGAGAGTTCTCCATTACAGAGTTTAGGAAAGATGTCAACATTTGCATTTTGACGTTATGTCGGAAACATATAGATATTTGGCTGTAAAAATACATAAACTGATTAAAAATAGTCCTTGTTCGTATTAACCCGAGGTATCAAACTGCGATTAACTAGTTCATTTTCAGGATATAGACGGTCCCTAATCTTGCAAGGCAGCACTGAAGCGTTCCTTTAGTTTACTGCCTGCTAGAACACTAGTAGGGTTTTACACGCAAAAAATCTAATCAGACATTTTCTGTATCACTATAGTCGATATGTGTAAAATAAACTGTTGAAATATTGTAAAAAATGAAAATCTTGTTTTGGAATATAAACATGTTAATGCTGGTTTTGTAGCTACAGTTCTGTATTTTGCACATTCTTTACATACACATACTAGCTTACAGTGAAGGTCTGTTTACACTGCCCCACTGTTCAATGTAAAGGAGTTAGTTAATACACTGACTCAGTTTATAACTGTCCATGTTTCACTATACCATGTACACAAATATACTTTTCTCACAGTTTTCACGAAGAAATGTAATTATGTAAGTGGAAGAAACTGGTTATTCAGTCTGTGGCCTCATATGGTGGGTGACTGCTCTCTACTAACACTGTAAAGACTGGGAATCCAGTGGCTACAAACAACACAGGCCTACTGTTTCTACTAATAGAAGCAGGCAGAGTTTCAGCTCTGGTAAATAAGCAAGCTGATCTGGGGATCCTTTGGGGAAGAGGTGACATGTTCCAGTTAATATGAAACCTAATGACCATAGAGATTGAGAAATCATACCATGCCTTCCCATATTCTGAAATCAAGGAGCAGTGCAGTCTACAAACCAGAGCTGCTTCCTGTATAGATCACAGCTTGTGAGTATTAGCAGACATGGCTTAATCTCTCACCCTGTCTAACATGGTTGCTGCTTGAATTGAAAGGAGATAAAAGATGTTGTTATAGGCTTACATATGGCCTTGAAGTGTAAATTATACCCATCTAAGCATGTACTTTTTAGGTTTGCATGAAGATAGCAAATCCAGATTGGTGTTTGAGCAATAGTGTGACAGAGAGAGAGGCTAACACTGCACAGATCAGCTGCATTAAATGACTGAGTAAAGGAAACATATCACTTTAAGCACACTCCACCCACCCAACCAAACCTGCTTGTTGTGTGTGTGCTCACAATCTCATGCGATCATATGGATGCCTCTGGATCAGGGAAGATCACATTTTATTCTCTCCCTGACAGAACTAGCTCCAGACCACCCAGCTGAGCTCTGTGCCTCTCTGCTGTCTGTTTTAACTCCATTACTAAGGCATAATTCGTTTACAGCCATTGCTCTGGTTCTGTGTCCACCTCTCCTTCTCCCTCTGTCCAGCACATGACAATTTAAATCAATGTAAGCAACATGCACATACATATGGTCGGAGAAGATGAATCTGACATTACAGTATTGATTGTTATTATTGAGAGTTTTGCAGTTACTTTAAACAGCCGCCAGGGGGCGCTGCACGCTAATTCATTGACACAACGTGTTAGACAGTAATGCTTTTCTTCCTGGCTTTTCTCATCTGCCTGTGCTCCGCGTAATCCTGGAGATAAAACAGTTGTTTTCAGATTTTTCTTAAAAGTGTCCCAAGAACATGCACGTGTTTGTTGCCTCTCCTAAATGAAATGTCGGCTGTTAGATGTTGCCAGGTGCTAAGGAAGACCAAAAATTGGCAACATATTACCTAAAGATAGTTTTTTATTTAAGTTTGAGGAGTGACGAAAACGCAACTCTACATTTTAAGTTTTTATATATTCATCTGCTTCTGCTGTAACTCCTGGACCCCTGGGCGCTTCATGCCATACTGACACGTTGTACATGTTCGTGCGGATGAAAAGCAAATGTCCAAAAATCCATAGAACGTTAAAGACAAATTTGGGCTATAGGAGCCCCTCTCCTGGAGACTGTTTTTAATCATCAACTTGTCAGAAATCTGCGCTGTAAGCTTTAATGCAGTGTAGTGTAATAAATGTGCCTGCAGAAGCCAAATGTATGCAGGGGACTTGACCATCCCTGGATCATGGTTTATAGTTCGTCTGTTTGTTGGCGCAGGAGGAGGAGGAGGGGGTGCGTAAAGTGTGCACCGTTTTTGGAGTCATGTTACGCACAGGCATGGAGAACAGCGTCGGGGAGGGACTTTTTACATATGGAAAAGGAATAACTGGCTCGGCTGTCTAGGTCTGTGCTCGGCGTTTCTGGGGAAGCAGAAACACCTGCACCCTCAGACTTCGATCTATTTCCCAAAGTAAACTGGGCAAGTCTTGCGTCTTGTAGTTGTCGCCAGCAGTTTTCGCGGGTGTTTCCTCAAGTTGTGTAACAATGTTAGGCAGCAGTCCCGGACAAAAGGGGAGAGTGGCGGAGAAGACGACGGATCCCATCAGGAGGCTCGGTAAGGACACCTTCAAACTTTTATGAGCAAGCTGAGCTGTTCCCCTGTGTTGCCACATGGTCAACTGTCTGCTGCAGACTGAGAGACAAACACCGGTGCCAGTAGCCTACTGAAATTATTAGCTGTGCTGCTCGTTTTTTATGATGAGTACTTTTCTCTTATGTTGCCGTAGTGTCCTCATGATGCGAACATAGCTGTGCACTGGGATGTTAGTAACTAGTGTTGTAAGTTATCCTATATCACCATAAGTAATTCCTGTCATGTTTATATAATGCACATTCTAATTCAGTAGTAATAAACGGGCTTTGATCAGATTTTTCACTGTTTTCTTTAACATTGCTTAAGTATTTATTATAATAAGTAATAATGGTATTTTTTCATCTTTTTTAAAATAGGGTTACCTACTCATCTTGCTAGATAATATCTTACTTGAATATTATTTATTGCAACATAAAATCTAAAGCATATTTGTCCGTTTGCTCATTAAGCCCCATATTTACTGTCTAGCCATGTTCTTGTGACAGAGTTGCCCCATTTTACACAAAATTTAACATTCAGTCTGTACAAAGAGTAATTTAAGCAACAGTAATATGTCTAATAGGTTTTATTTAAAATGACATCAGTTGTTGGTCATTATAGGTCACTGACACATCAAATAGGGCTGAAATGGACAGAGTGTGTGGGTGTAGTTGAAGTGATCATGTGTTTATGAAGTTGACTCGCTCACTGACCCACTGCTGTCATTCCGGCTCCTCCATTCCCATCCTAGCCTACACCCTCTCAGTCCTGCACTGATAGGTTGCTGCTCCTTCACATAAGCCTTTTTAAGCAATAGCCACACCTAGGCTTAAAATAGACACCTGCTGAGCAGAGATAGAGTGCCTGTCAGAATATCTGAAAAGACACCAGATGTCTGGAAATCTGCTGGTTATGATATTCGACCTGTTTATGCCAAAGGAAACATGCTTGCAGCTAGTAATTTAGTGTAAAATTCATTTGTCTATGTTTTTGGCAGGTAGTTAATTGCCTAATAAGTAAAAAAAGACACCAAGAATTGAAAAGGTGTTCATAAAGTATACTGGGAATTGTATTTGGGACATTTTTAAATACATACAGGATAATTCTTCCTGTATGTAAGTCCCTGTAGGAGGCCCAGATGATACTGGGCGAGAGGTGGGGTACACCTAAGCTGCATGTCGTACCAGGTAAGAACCCACACAGGCACAGGGACATGCAAACTCTGCATTGAAAGCCCCCGGGTCAACTCTACTCCGGAACCTTCTTGCTGTGAGGGGACAGCACTAACCACTGTGCCGCCCTTCCAGCAAACAATCACTTTTTTAAATCAAATATAGTGTATTCATAAGTGATTATCTTTTATGTTCTTGTAACATATCACTGGTGTTTATTTTGGCATTCAGACAACTGAAATCCTGCTCAAGACATTTAATTCACAAGGGCTGTGTGTGTGTGTGTGTGTGTGTGTGTGTGTGTGTGTGCGTGCAGAGAGAATGTGGTTTCAGCACAGTAGTCTATGTTGAACCTAACGCTAATGCCAACACTTGTCTATGCGTTAGTGATGTTTGCGTTATGAAATCATATCTGTGTCCGATTAGCACTCTACTAATACCAAAGCCAGTAAGGTCACCACCCCATCCCCTCCCATCCCTGACCCCTATGCCATGTGTTATTGTACTTAATGTCAAGTGGCTCTCAACCCACTCTGTCTTAGCAGATTTTCAGTCATTACTTACATCAAATGGAAATCACTATACAGGTTTCACAGTCTGGAATGATCTAAGCTCAGAGTTTCTGTGTCACAGGACTAGTTGGACCTGTTTGTGCAAAGATTTGTCACTTGGTGTGTAAGCCTTATTCCTATAGATAAATGTGGCCTGTGAGCCAGAGATTTGTTAGGTCTCAGATAATCCATGTTTGAATCAGACAAGTGACTGTAGATAAATATTTCTTGCCACACATGTCCCCAGCGCAGTGTGTGGATTTCATTTCAGAAAGAGTGCAAGGCTGCCAGTCAGCAGTGTTGTTGTTAACTCGGGAGCTCTGTGAGGGTGGCACAATAATTCATTTGTTGTGAGCACAAACAGTAAGTCTCATTTTTTGCTGTAGGATATTTTACTTATACTGTAGGTTGAAAATCTGGAAAACATGGACATTTTTAGACTAGTTTTCCAGTTTTGTAAAAGTTATGGAAAATGAGAGAAACAGTAAAATGTCTTGGCAAAGCATTGTGTTGTCCTTTTCTTTTGCTCAGAGTAAACTGTCAGAGCACCACAGATAAAATTAGGATTACAGTATGTTGATGAACTGGCAGGATGAGAGGGCTGAAACACCCTGAGCGTGCCACAAACCTGTGGGCTTTTGAGTACACCTAATATCCCATAAGGTTGGTGAGGACACTGCGCACTTGCTAAAAATAAACAGGTATTGAAATTGACCCTGACAAACAAGACATAAATGAAGTGATTCTTCAAACATTAGTTGGCTTGTTTTTTAATACATTTATAATTTAATGCTCTGCTAGTCGTTGGCTTGTTAGCTAACATTATGTGTTTGGTTAGGATGATCAGCTAGTTTTACCTGCAGTGCATCAGGCTTGTGATTTGAACAGTGTTTGTGTGTATGCTGGTTGGCGCTGTGTATGTCTGTGTGTTTGTGTGTGCAACCATCTCTTCCCAGTTTCAGATATGCTGACGTTTTCATGTAGCATATGATATTCTGCCTGTCACCACTGGGTTTTAGAGGTACTGTAAACTTAACGCTAGCTTTGTCTAAAGTGACAAACAAATTCTTTGTTTTTCTGATTCACTTATTGCTGTGAATTGGTGTTGTGCATTGAAGTGTCAGGCCATAATGCTTTAAAACCCAGTTACAGATTAGTGAGACATACATTTTTTTCCAGCCAAGCAGCAACAGACCAGGTCACAAAGAGAGTAAATGCTTCACAAATCTGTACCAGTGTTATGAAGAGTCTTTAAACTCTCTAGTCTAGATTTCACATGTTGACCAGAGATGTTGTTTAATTTTATGGATGTTGAAAAAAGTTACACATTGCAAATTTTATGTCTTCTCAAATCGATTATAATAGATTATTTCATATAGATACTTGTCTGGGTAGAGAAAATGCAGTGAAATTACAAAGCTTTGGATTTCATAGCTAAAATAAAGGTTTTACAAATCTGAAAGTGGGGTTTTAAAATGTAATCAGTTCATCCTTGAGTCCAAGGGGACACGGTCAAATTTGACAAAAATTGCTTATTATTGAGCAAGTGAATGATGTTATCATTATATGTAACCAAAAGCTGCTTATGTTGAACTGAATACAAAGTGGCTGTATGGCTTTTAGGTTCAGCTCTGAGCTGTCCAATCACCATTAGCAGTAGTTTTGCATTTCAAAATAACACTCAATTTGCTTCCAAATCTTTTTCTGGGGAATGTGTCTGCAGATGAGTTGATGCCCCCGAGAGTCACAACTCTAAAGAACTTTTTTCAAGTTTTCCTCAGACCATCTTTTAACTTGCAGATGGGAGCATCATCATTTTTGTTAAAGACTGGACCTTGTATTAAAAGATGCATTCATTCATTCATTTTCTACCACTTAGTCCCTAAATGGGGTCACGGGGGGGGCTAAGCCAATCCCAGCCGGCAAAAGATGCAAATAGATGCCATATTGCCACCTGACCTGACTCACGGGTTCAGCTGTGGGACAGACCTGATATACTTTCTCATCACACATATCGTATCAACAACAGCCTAACTTCTCTATCTTTATGCACGTGTGTAATCTTTGCTAGCTGGCTCTTGTGACCATGGGTATGCTGAGAGAAACACAAACCACATCCCAGGAGAAGCTGGTATGTAGGCCTGAGTGAAGAGGACTCATGCTGGCACAATCTGACCAGCTGACATGCTTATTTTGTTTTTGAGCTTCCTCTTAGCTTGGAGGCTCCCTCACTGCTTTTATGCACCCTTGGAGAAACATGGGACTCATTTATTTATTGTGTGGATGCTTTTCAGCATCCACACAATGCTTCTATTCAGAATTTTTCTAAACTTCATACTTTTTAAAACATTTTGCTTTGTTCTGAAAATTTTGCCCCATTCAAATGAATGGGAAAATTCAACTTCAGCATACTTTCAGCTATTTCAGGTATTAAAATGTTCAGCTCTTCAAGGACATTCATGCTTCTCTGAAAGGTTTCTGATGATTTGTTCTAAGCCTGTATTTTTCTTTGTCCTGGAACAACTTGATTTCACAGACCTGTTTACCAAGCACAGCTTCTATTTCAAAATAACACACACACACACGCTGTCTTTTCACTCCTTGTGGGGACTTTACATTGACTTACATTAATTTCCTGTAGACTTATTCTAACCTTAACCATAACCATTACTTGTCTAACACCTAACCTCATCCTAACCCTAAACCATGTTGCCACCCTAAAATTCAGTGATTTCCTTGTGGGGACCAGAAGCTAGTCCCCACAAGGATGGCCGAGTCCCCACTGTGTGTGTGTTAACAGATTTTGGTCCTCATGATGTAAGTAATACAAAGACACACACACACACATGCACACAACAGCGCCAAATGATTCAAAATTTAAAAAAAAAAGAGGTGGCTCCACTTTCAGATTTAAAGCGCCACACAAGATGCACAAAGCAAAAAACAGACAGTGACAAATTACATCTCAACTGGGGAAAGCTCGGTTCGAAGGCCGGGTGTCCACACTTCCACAGTTTATCAGTTTAAAGGTAAATTGTTGTGGTTTGCACTTGAAGAAGAGAAGCAGCTGGAAAAGCAGCAAATCGATAGACCTTTCCTCCTCAGAGTTAAGTGTTGTTGTCAGAGACACTGGGAAAAACAAAGTGCAGGAAAAAGAGGAAACATAACCAATAAACAGTGGTTTATTGTGTCTTATACTGTGTGTTAAGACAGGAGCTGCGGCAGCCGCTCTTCTGATCTAAAGTGACACACAAGATGA